CCTTTGGAAGTCCTAGATGAACCATACAAATATAACAATAAACCTAATCTTTAACGGCATCTTTCACTAAAGAATTTCGTCAGTAAATTTTGCAAATTAGACACTAAATCTAAGGATACAAAGTGGGCGGAAACCCTTCCACTCCCACAAAATCTTTTTTTAATTTTTTACCATTTTCATGCAATTTTATTAGATTTATTTCAGTAGGATTTATAATCCTTTTTCGTAGTTTTTTGCTGTTTTATTAGTTACCAAAAGACCAAAAGAAATGAATTTGGTATTGAATCTCTTTTGCCATCACCTACTGTTTTTATTTTATTTCGCGTAGCCTCCCCTTCAAACACCGAACATTTTCGTAGACTTCATTCTTTCTTCGTTTTTCGACCCCAATAAGAATCATCTCTTTATTCATTGTCGGTTCCTTCAGCGGCTGGACGAATCCCTCTATTAATTTTGCTTCCTTCAGAGGCACGAGGAATCCCCCTATTCATTTTGTTGGCTTAATTCGAAGCTTGGCCACCAACAACTCATTTCCACTGGCACAAGAGGCAGGAAGGGGCAGGGGTAGCAATGAGGGGCAGGGCGGCATGTGGGAAAGGGCATGTATGAGGCAGCAGCACGAGGTGTTGCCAGCACGCGCAGCGGAAGTCACGTGATGTGTTCTGTGTGACACGTACGCGACAGCAGATGCAACTCCCCCTCTACCCAGCTCCCTGTGTAGCTCCAGAGTTTGTTGTAATTTTTCAATTTGGAGACAAGACAAGGAGGCAGGGAGGCCAGAGGCAGGGAGTCCAGGGGCAGGGAGACCAGAGGCAGGGAGACCAGAGGCAGGGAGTCCAGAGGTAGGGAGTCCAGGGGCAGGGAGAGAGGAGGCAAAAAGCAGGAGCAGTCAGAGGTCATAGGCAGAAATCAGGAACAGTCAGCGGTCGGAGGCAGGAACTGTAGTCCCCCGCAAGAGTCACTGCCAGAGATTCATCGCCAGAGAGAGAGAGAGACGAGCCTTAAAGTCAAACTCCGACTGCGACTGCGACTCCAACTCATTAAAATAACTCCGGCGGAGGTGTGTGATACTTCCTGGCGGGGGGGTAGGGGGGTAGGGGCACCGAAAACCAGCAACAGAAACAAGAACAACAGCTCGGCGTCCCAGTTCCGGGTTAAATAATTAAATTTCACTGCACAAAATGGCCAGCGGGCATAAGTTACGGCGGCCACGCGTACGCCGTACGGCCGGGCGTATGCGCAACGTTTCATTTTTATTTAACGCGAATGCCTAGCCGGAAGCCAGGCTCTCGTCGTCGTCGTCGTCGTTGTCGGTGGTGGCAGGGGGTGGGTGCGGGTGCGGGTGTGGGCTGTGTTCCAGGTGCAGGTTGCAACGCATATTTCATGGCACTAATGTAGGGACCCCGGTCATAAAATCACAATGTGCAAGGGGCTCTACGGCAGCGAAAGCTATATATGTGGGCGTGGCAGCATATATGTGAACAAGGTCCAACCCAAGGGGCAGGCAGGCAGGCAGGCAGCAGCAACTCATTTAAAAAAGTTGTAGGCTTCATACAAAAAAAAATATGGGAATTCCAGAAGTTAAGAGAAAATAATTAAGAATATAGAATGCCCTTTTTTCTGTGAAAATAAATAAAAATTAATGTAAGAATATTTTTAATAGATTCTTGTCACGAAAAATTATTCAAAGTTGGAGAACAGATCAGACTTTTAAGATAAAACCTGATGAATCGTTTAGATTAGTGGTAGTACCCTTTTTTCTCGAAAGCCAGGTGTTTAATGAGCCAAACGACAGGTTATTGCAAGTCAAGACAAAAGCACTTTTTTATGGGAAATATATACAAATTTCGAGTGGATATAACACCTAATTTCTGTCAGATTGCTTAGGAAGGATAGTCCCTTTTTGATGAGAAATTTAAATACTTTATACTAGATTTTTTTAGGGGATTTTTAATGAAATAAACTTTTGAGGGTATGGAAGATCCTTGAATTAAAATCTACTATCCCTCTATTCCTTGTCTGTTTATATCCCTTTATCATTTATCTTCCAAATTTCTCAACCCTTAATTATTTTCTTAAAGTCTTACAACTGCCATCATTAAATCCTTATTCCCCATTTGCAAGAAATAGAAATTATTTTTTTTTTATTTCTTTGCCAATTTTCTTGAATTTTTCTGCTCATATTTTTGTATGTAAAGAACAAAAATTCCAGAGCTTCATGGCAAATGTCAGCCGTGGCGCAGGGTCCTCTCTAGTTTATTTTTTATGAGGGAGTGGGGGTAGTTAGGGGGCGTAGATGGGCGTGCCGGTAACACCCCGACATCAGCGTGAAACTACATGGCTGGCTGGGCATGAAAATGGCCATGGTTGGGGGGGTGGGTTGGGTTGGGGTGGGGTGGAACTGGAGGTAGGGTGGAGGGGGGGTAGGGTGTTTCGGAGCATGTGTTGAAATGCAAACTTGATTTTTTGTTCTCCCTCTTTGGGTTTTTTCCCTCTGGGCGCTGGTCGCTGCTGACAAGCGTTGCTCATTAAATTTTATTTTATAATTACACACACCAGCAAACACACACACACACACAATTTACATATGTATGTGTGCGCGTGTGTTTGTATATATTTCCCCCTCATTTAGGAGTTAGGCTTTAATGTTTTGAGGCGACGCGTAATTGGGTCCCGGATAACGCATTTTTTCCGTTGTATACCCTATGCGGGCAGAGGGTATATCGATTCTGAGGGGAAGTTCGGTGTAAAAGGTACAGAAAGGAATAGGAGAATGCAAACAAAGACAGCCTGAAAACTACGCACCAAAGCTAGGTTCCGTTTGTTGTTGCTTTACTCCTCGGACGTCGCTAAAAATGAAAACCGAATCAATTGCTGGGCGACGATTCGGTCGTAGCTTTCTGCTGCCTTGTTGTTGTTGCAGCGAGAGCGAAAGCATTTGCCGAGTGCCGGGCCTCCAAGCAGAACGTCGGCGCCTTGCTTTTGCTGTTGCTGCTGTTGGGAGACCAAAGGCATGAAAGAACGTGTGCATTGCGTGGGAGAGGATCGAAGCTCGGTCAGAGCAGCGACGGAGGGAGCGGGAACAACAAATTTACGACTCTCTCAAGCACTCAAGCTCTGCTGCGACGCTGACTTCTCTTTCCTCCTTGTCTTATCTACTTTCTTGATCGGAGATCACAGATGACATCATCGAAGTGCATTTTCGCTTGCTTCAGACTAAGAAATATCCCATGAAAAGTGCCCAAATTCTACGCCAAACAGAGCGCATCACTATACTCTTTATAAACATTTCATCCCCTAAGGGTATCCAGTCTTTCCCCTCGACAAAAACCAGTCTTCCCTTTATTTTTTTGATATTTTTTTCGGTATGTTCTCGGGAACTGTTGCCTCCTCCAGGAGCTTAGACCATGACGCAGGCACATTACACTCCGTTTCACGAATTAGTGGCAGCAACAAGAACAATTGGTCGGTCGGAAGGGTGGAAGGGGGTGGTTATGGCGTTTTTTTTGGGGGAGTGGAAGGAGTCTGCAGCACACACTGTTGTTGGCGTTGGGGGTTTGGGATTGGGGGCAGGGGCAGACGGTGATTAAACTAAAGTGTTCGAAAGTTAATTGGCGCAATAACAACAACAACGGCTACAACAGCAGCAACAATTATACTTAGCCACTATTATGCCTCACGCTTGAATGGGCAGCAGTGGGTGGGCGTTGGGTGGGGTGGGGGAGGGGCTATACCATTCGATACGATGCGATACGGAACGAAACTAACGGCACTTAAACCAAATGACCAACGCGGGGCACAATCGAGAGCTAAACGCGTAAAAGTCGAGTCGGGCACGGATTGGGGGGCGGTTCTATGTTTAGATTCAATGGGGAGACAAATGTGTGTGCCAGTCATTGGCAGAAGAGTGGAAATTAAAGACGGTAGACTTGTAGGCATACTTTATACGTTATCGATAGTTATCGATAATTGTATAAACTCTTATGAATCATTCATTCTTTATGTGTTTGGCCATAGAAACCCCTTTATTTTATTCAACCAGCAATATTTCTGTAGAAAAATTATCCAGGCTTGTAGATATGCCTTTGACGCTGTCAATAATTATCGATAACTATATAAAATCACAAAAATTGTTCATTCTGTTGATGTATGCTCACAGAAACTGCTTTATTTCATTCACCAAGCAACAGTTCTGTAGAAGAATCCTCTATTATATGTTTTCGATAATTATCGATTACTGAAAATCTTACATTTCCTTCATTCTGTTGCTGTATTCTCATAAAAACAAACAATATTTATGTAAAAGAATAATCTAAGCTTATGGATATACTTTATAAGCTGTCGGTGACTATCGATAATTATATAAACTCTTAGGAATCGTCCATTCTGTTGATTTATGCTCATAGAAACTGCTCTAACTCGTTCACCAAGTCACAATTTTGCGAAAGAATCTTCTAGATTTGCAGAAATATCTTGCCTAAGTATTCGATAATTATCGATAACTATAAATCTCACAAATCCTTCATTCCGTTGATTGAAACTCTTATAGTTCCCCAACCAAAAACAATTTCTAACCATGAATTCTCTATTTGTAGCCACTGTGACCCCAAAAAGTAATTCTAGCAATAACCGAAGCCCATTTCCCACTTCACCCAATTTATATATGTATATATATTTTTTTTGTTTCCACAAATTGGCATTATTTAAAAATGTCGATGGGTCACGCTGTTGACCGAACTCCTCGTCAACGTCAACGTCAGCGTCCTTCATGGGCAAAGTACTTGTACTTGTAGGTCCTTTGACTGTTGCTGCTGTTGTTGTTGGGTGGTTGGGTGGTTGGGTTGTTTGGGACGCTTGTCGTGTAATTGAAAACGGTTATTGGCAAGTTAATGGCTCAAACGAACCAGAAACCAGAAAGCCATGGCCCATGGCCCATAGAACTAGCAATAATTGACTATTTTGTATGCTAAAACCCCATTCTTTTTTCCCCCCATTTCCAGATTACCCTCGCGTGGAGGTGGGACCCCAGAACCCCATGCGGATTGAACGCGATCATGTTGCCAAACTGGAGTGCCGTGTGGACGCCAAGCCGATGGTCAGCAATGTCCGATGGTCACGCAACGGCCAGTATGTGAGTGCCACGCCCGTGCATACGATCTATCGTGTGAATCGACATCATGCCGGAAAGTACACCTGCAGCGCGGACAACGGCCTGGGCAAGACCGGGGAGAAGGACATCGTCCTGGATGTGCTCTATCCGCCAATTGTGGTCATCGAATCGAAGACGCACGAGGCCGAGGAGGGGGAGACAGTGCTGGTGCGCTGCAATGTGACCGCCAACCCGCCTCCGATTACCATCGAATGGCTGAAGGAGGGTGCCCCCGATTTCCGCTATACCGGAGAGCTCCTGACACTCGTCTCGGTGCGGGCGGAGCATGCGGGAAACTACATCTGTCGCTCGGTGAATATCATGCAGCCGTTCAACACGAAGCGTGTCGAGGGCGTGGGCAACTCCACGGTGGCTCTGCTGGTCCGTCACCGGCCCGGACAGGCCTACATTACGCCCAACAAGCCCGTGGTCCACGTGGGCAACGGTGTGACGCTCACCTGCTCGGCCAATCCCCCCGGCTGGCCTGTGCCGCAGTATCGCTGGTTCCGCGACATGGACGGCGATGTGGGCAACACCCAGAAGATTCTCGCCCAGGGACCCCAGTACTCCATACCCAAGGCGCACCTGGGCAGCGAGGGCAAGTACCATTGCCATGCGGTGAATGAGCTGGGCATCGGAAAGATAGCCACCATCACGCTGGAGGTCCATCAGCCGCCGCAGTTCCTGGCGAAGCTGCAGCAGCACATGACTCGACGCGTGGGGGATGTGGACTATGCGGTGACGTGCAGTGCCAAGGGCAAGCCCACGCCGCAGATCCGTTGGATCAAGGACGGCACCGAAATTCTGCCCACCCGAAAGATGTTCGACATACGGACCACTCCGACGGACGCCGGCGGCGGAGTCGTTGCCGTCCAGAGCATCCTGCGGTTCAGGGGCAAGGCCCGACCCAACGGGAATCAGCTGTTGCCCAGCGATCGCGGCCTGTACACGTGCCTGTACGAGAACGACGTGAACTCGGCCAACTCCTCGATGCATCTGCGGATCGAGCACGAGCCCATCATCATCCATCAGTACAATAAAGTGGCCTATGATATGCGCGAGTCCGCCGAGGTCGTGTGCCGTGTCCAGGCCTATCCCAAGCCCGAATTTCAGTGGCAATTCGGCAACAATCCGTCGCCGTTGACCATGTCCTCGGACGGCCACTACGAGATTAGCACCAGGATGGAAAACAATGACATTTACACCTCCATTCTCCGGATTGCACACCTCCAGCACTCGGACTACGGCGAGTACATCTGTCGGGCTGTCAATCCGTTGGACAGCATTCGGGCGCCCATCAAACTGCAGCCCAAGGGACAGCCGGAAAAGCCCACGAATCTCAAGGTCCTGGAAGTGGCCCACAACTATGCGGTGCTCGCCTGGCAGCCGGGCTTCAATGGGGGCTTCATGAGCACCAAGTATCTGGTCAGCTATCGCCGCGTGGCCACGCCGCGCGAACAAATGCTGGCGGATTGTTCGGGCAACGGCTATATACCCAGCTATCAGGTGTCCTCGAGCTCCTCCAGTGTGGGGGCCCACGAGTGGATCGAGTTCAACTGCTTCCGCGAGAATCCCTGCAAGCTGGCGCCCCTCGATCAGCACCAGAGCTACATGTTCAAGGTCTATGCCCTGAACTCCAAGGGCACCTCGGGGTACTCCAATGAGGTCCTGGCCACCACAAAAGTCAGCAAAATACCGCCCCCACTGCATGTGAGCTACGATCCCAACTCCCATGTGCTGGGCATCAATGTGGCTGCCACTTGTCTGTCGCTCATTGCCGTTGTCGAGTCGCTGGTCACGCGGGAGGCCACCGTGCCCATGTGGGAGATTGTGGAGACCCTGACGCTGCTCCCGTCCGGCAGGGAGACGACTTTCAAGGAGGCTGTCATCAATCACATGGCTCGAACGGCACACTACACCACGGCCACGTCTTCGGGCAGGAATGGGGCCCATCTGGGGGAGGATCGGACCATGGCACTGGCGGAAACAGCCGGACCCGGACCCGTGGTACGCGTGAAGCTGTGCCTCCGCTCGAACCACGAGCATTGCGGGGCCTATGCGAATGCAGAAAGTAAGTAGAACATCTCCCTCCCCCTTTAATCGCATAATTTCCGCTAATTTTCCGCTCAACAGTTGGCAAATCCTATATACCCAATGATTCCTCCATCACCACCTCGGCGCTGGTGGCCATCGTCATTGCCTCGTTATCGTTTCTGGTGTTTTTGGCCTTGCTTTACGCCTTTTGCCGGTGTCGGCGCACGCATGCGGCCAAAAAGCAAGCAGCCGGAGGCAATGCCACAGCCACAACGACAACCACGACGACGGGGCCCGGGGCCAAGGAGTACGACCTGGATGATACCCCAACATCCGGCACTGACCCGCAGCAATCCCAGCAGCAGCACCAGCAGCAGCAGCCACCGAATCTCCCCCCGCCCCCACCGTATTATCCCAGTGGCACTTTGGACAGCAAGCAAGACGGCAGCGGTGGCGGCATGGAGCTGACCCTCACGGCCCTGCACGATCCTGACGAGCAGCTGAACATGCAACAGCAGCAACAGCAGCAGAACGAAGCTCTCCACAGCGGACTGTACCATCAGCCGCAGGCCAAAGCCATGTTGGGACTCTACGGCGGTGGCGGAGGCGGCGGCGGAGGCGGAGGCGGCAGCCAGCACTCGAATGGCTATGGCTATCATGTGACAAGTGCCATTGGTGTGGATGGCGACAGCTATCAAGTGATGCCCTCATCCGCAGCAGCAGCCGCAGCGGCAGGACACGGTGCAGGCGAGTGTAAGTACAGCCACAGAAAAATGTTAGTTATACTTGAAAAATATTGAAAATGGAAGGAACATGGCATATATTTCCCCTGACCAACGTTTTCCTTGGGGATTAATTCGCGAGAATTGGTTCAGAAGAGTGTGTGCCTACGGCCAAAGAGAAATGACAGTTCCATATATAATTATTTTATTTAAGAAGGTATATTTTGTAGATGGGTGGAGCTTTAAGTCGTTTTTGAGTTTCTTTGAGGTATTTTCTTACTACCAATATTTTTCATAGGGCGTCAGCCAAAGAAAAATGTTAGTTCTACCTAAAAAATACTCAAATTAAGAAGATAAGAGATATATTTCACCTTACCAACTTTTTCCTTGGGCTTAATTCAGAAGAGTGTGTGCCTACAGCCAAAGAGAAATGTCAGTTCTATCTATAAATATTTGATTTAAAAAACTAATTGTTTAGAAGGGGATTAACTGATTTTAGACTTTTTTGAGTTTCTTTCAAACATTTCCTCCCTACCAATATTTTTCCTAGGTCTTAGGCCAAAGAAAAATGTTAGCTTTACCTAAAAATCCCTAAATTACAAAGAAAAACATGCAAACTCCTGGCTCCTCTCTGGCTTACATTTCCCTACCAACATTTCCTTGGGTGTACTCCGTACCAGTTGGACCAGTTTTTGGGGCAAACCCAAGCGACAACTTATGAAGAGCCATGGCTCTGGTGGGCTGTGGGGTAGTGGGGCCATGAGGCAGTGCCATGTGAATGTGTGTCTTGATTAAGCGACACATTTTTCGGCCCCAGATTTATGGCCGCCATTTCGATGCTGTCACTCCCCCACGCTTCTCTGCCGGAGTTTTTGGCCGTAATTGCATTTCATGTCAATCTAGAGGCGGCAAACAGGCGACCAGCGTCAGCGCAGCTCCTCCTCCACTTACCAGGCTACTCATGCAAATGCATCGCTGTCTCTATCTCTCTCTCCCCCTCTCTGTCTGTCTCTGTCCCCCCCCCCCCCCCGTCGAGTGTTTGGTGTCCGAGTGTCCGGCATAAGCAGCTCTTTCGCCTTGGCAACCCAGGGATATGGCATGACACCAATCCTGCGGAGTGGAGTCCCCAACCGAAAAGTAGACGGCGACTCCGTCGTAATTCCAATTAAGTGAGAATTAAACCGTTATCCTGTGCCTGGCTTTGTTCGGTGGCGAGGGGTTTTTATTATTTTTTGTACGCTCTTAATTGGTTTTAAGTCGGCTCAAGTGCCCAGCCAGGAAGCTCTTTGATACCACTGCCATATCGATGCCAACAAATCAAATTGGGGATACACTCGTATGTCATTTTTTTGATTGGTTTGAAGAGTGGCATGTGTCCTTTTTGCTGAGATTAGATCGTATTTTTAGAACGCTGAAGACTTTGCCCAGAAAGAGAAGCGCAAAATCACAGCCCTTCGAAATTCTCCCACAAAAAAGACGATTTTAAAAGTAAATATGATTTGAGCAATTAAACAAGCTGGAAAGCAATTGAAATATTAACTTTTTTTGGCCCAACTAATCGTCTTACAAGGACTCGCAGGACTGCTTAAAGAAGTCACAGCACTTATACTTTAATCCGATTAGGCAGGAGAGAACTTAACCCCAAGCCAAAGCGAAAACGAAAACGCCACACCCAGCACCCACCCTCTTCTTCGCTCTCTTATCAGAGTTGTGACAAAATAAAATACACAAAGAAAAGTCCCACTTCACACCTATTTTCACATAAATGAAAAGCAACATGTAGAAAACTAAATGGAGGGGCGGCAAACACACAAGGGAAATGGAAATGGAAATGGAGGCAACCGTTCCCCTCTTCACTGAAACTGAAGCTACACGATGGGGCTTCCACCGACCATTTTTGGGGGCGAAAATAAACCCCAAATAAACAACCCATGAAAGGCAATATTTACCTTCTGCATGAATCGGACGCAAAATTACAATCGAAAACGTCATTTTTTTTCATCAAAAAACAACAAACAAATTTTTTTAAATAACATTAAGCGTTAAAAAAATTCTATAAATACCAACAAATGCCACAGAGAATTAAAAAAAAAATGCTAAATACTAAAAAAAATAAAAAAAAGGACTAAAAACAATTCACTAAAAGACAAATAATACCATACCACTGAAAAAAATACTAAAAAATAAAATAAAATAAAAATTAAAACGCCATAAAAACTCCATAAATCCGGCACAAAATTACAGAAAATACTACAAAATACTAAATATACTAAAAATCACTATAGAAAAATACCATAATTCTTTAAAAGACAAAAAATATATCAAAATCCTTAAAAAAATACTAAACAACTCAAATAAAAACTGAAGCACTATAAAAATTCCTTAAAATACAGAGACTACCACAAAAAATACCACAGAGAATACTCAAAACTAAAACACTAACAACTGCAAGAGAGGGGTGACCATTCGAGCATACTTTCAAAAAGTGGAAAACGCTGAGTCCCCCACCTGAAACGCGAAAGGGAAAGGGAAGGGGGTGTCGTGTCCGAACATTCTCATTTCTGCAACATGTTGAAAGTTAAATGGAGGTGGAGCTCCCCTTTGCCGTATCGTAAGCCACACAAAGAGCGAATTTTAATTGTGCTGGTCGCCGGTGTGTGCCTTTGTTGCGCTCCGCTCCACTCCGCTCCGGTCCGGTCCTTCTTGTGCTTTTTCGTCTCTGCCAAGCGTCAACTTAATTACTATTTCTCTAACCCTTCTCTCACACTTGTCCCAACACAATTCCACACCACACCACACACTCTTACACCCACATACCCACACATTCGGGACACACACACACACACTTCCACATCGTTGGTGGTTCGGTGTGTGTGGTTGCAACCAAAGCAGGACCACTTGAGGCGACACCAGTAGCCGGCATCCAGCAGCAGAAACTACAACAAAATTCAGCACGCGCCAATCTAACGAACCAACCCACCATCAGCAACACCAACACCAACACCATCTCCAACACCGCCACGAACCTCACCAACACTCACAGCACCCTCAAGCCCAACTCCAACACCAACACCGCCACCTCCAACTCCAACCCCAACTCCAATTCGAATGCCACCTCAACCTTAAAGCGGAAGAACCATCTGGGAAGTGGATGTGGCAAGGATAGGATAGAGAGGGAGCGGGAGAGGGTTTTGCTAACCGCAGCCACGGCGGCAACAACCACAGCCCTGGCAACCACCATTACAACAACATCACGTAATGCCAAAACCGCAACAACAACTACAACGCTGGCCATCACAGGTAACCCCCCTCCCCACCCCCTCGTCATCGTTGGAGCACACTCTACTCATCTCCTCCTCTTTTCTCTTCTGTGTGGAGGAGGAAGAGACACCACTTAAACTTTTGCACCACAGCGACTACTAGTCGCTGTGCACCCAAAAACGTTGTTGCACTCTCCACAAAATTAAGCACCAAAGAAAAATGTTTCGTTTTTTTTTGTTGTTGTTTTTTTGTATCTGCAACTGCACCATGCACTCACTCTGTTGTTGATGTTGTTGTTCTTTTTGTCACTAATTGTTGCACACAAATGTTTTTCTAAATGGCGGAGATATACTAAAGTTTTCAACGAATTTATGGTGGAATTTGTGGTGAATGTTGGTGAAACTTCTGTGTCCAGCCGGAAAGTATGCTATGAAATATTTTCAAATGGCGAATTTCTTAGGATATTGTATTTTCCACTCAATGAAAGCCCTTTGCTTGTCGACTTTCATCTCTTCTACACAGCCTTTGCTCTTTTCTGATTTTTCATTAAATTTTCCTTGGAAATTCATATAGGAATATCTCAAACCCACTCTAGCGTTGCCTTTCGTGTCAAACTGTCTATTACAATTACCTGATTCATTCATTTCATTCAGTATTTTCTGTTCTTACAGTTCAGTTCTAAAACTTCTCCGAAATTCAAAATAAAAATAAAAATTCCTACAAGAAACAAATATTCCAAATTCTCAAAATTAAAATTCAGTCAAACGAAATTTCGATACGGCTTTTTAGACATAAATTCTTTAAATTAAATTCAAGACAAAAGATGTTCAAAACGAGTGGACCTTGGAGGAAAACAGGAGGTACTATTCCCACAGGATACCCTACATATTACGGAAATGATTAGCATCCCACCTCCCGCTCTCTTTCATAATTGTAGAGAAAAAAGCAGGATCCAGATCATGGATCACAGACTTCAACCAACTTCCTGATTCTTCATTGCTTGGATTCGTTCCGAAGATCGTGCCTTGCCCCACCGAAGGGTACACATGCAAAGGATTGTAAGGAGATCCTTTGTGCTGAACTCGTTTATCTTGTTGTATTGCGGGACCTACGGCGTACGATGAGAGCGGGTGCGCGGGTGCAGAGCCAATATTGACGTTCTTCATCAGCTCGTCCGATGCAAATTAATTGTTTTCAAATTTCGTATGGAGCATTAACACCACAAATCACTGCCTGCGTCCATTGAGTGGCGTTGGGATCCAATTCCAATACAAAAATCGACTAGCGACTATTTGAGAGACCATGACAAGAAATTCAAACGCCAATGCCACAAATTTTAAATAAAATAAAAATAAAAATACATTACAAAAGTTTAAATTTGTTTTTGGTTTAATATTCCAACCGAATTGTCACGAAAGACAAACCAATAATGACAGCTAGGGCAGTGCTTATAGGAATCAAGAAAAAATTGAGACAAAGCCTGCTAATACCCAGATAGAGAGAGACCTTTATGAACGGGCAACCGAATGGATTCGGTGGTATTCGGTATTCGCTTCCTACTCGTTAAAATAATTCCATCATGGTTCGTATCACTCGTCCAAAACGGACTGAAGGAAGCATGTTTTATCATTTTTACTGCACTAAAGACAGAAATTTCGTTTTTTTTTCTCGCTCACTCGCCATTTGATTCATTTTTGAATTCATAGATCGGAAAAGATCGAAGGCAAAGTAAATAATTATCTACACTTTCTGCATGCCTCTCCTTCTCTCTAATCCCGCGAATACTGGGTGTTTCTTTTGAAGAAACAGAAATAAGCCGAGAGGAAGTGATCGAAGGAAGGGAGTAGAGTGGAGTTCGTGGAGTACTGCTTGGTTCTACAAGAGGGCCTCCTTCTGCTTTTCTTCCGCTTTCGCACGCTTCCTAATTCCATTTCCTTTCTTGGTTGAAATCGCTAATCCCATCCTTAATTAAGCCAGCCAAAGTGGTAGTAAAAACCCATCAGAGCGTGTGTTTCTGATTAGAATGACTTGGCATCTCCTCTCATATCTATGAGGAGGTTTGTTCCGTGTTAGTGTGTGTGTGTGTGTGTGTGTTGGTGTTTTTCCAATTAACCCATGTGACTCTCAAGTTTGCTCTGCACTGCCGCAGCACTTTCGCACGCACTCAGCACTCGTTGTGGCACCTTTTTGTCGTTGCACAACTAAATATAAAATTACAAATTCCTCTAGGCCACCGAAAGCCCCAATTAAACCCGACAAAATGTTGCTAATTTTCCAGGGTCGAGCAACAATTCGAATGAGAACAACTACAGTAATGCCAGGGATCTGTCGCAGGAGGCCCTGTGGCGGCTCCAATTGGTTGCGGCCCAGCAATCGCAGCAAATCTACGTGGAACGACCGCCATCGGCGTTCAGCGGTTTGGTGGACTACAGCGGCTATCCGTCGCACATTCAGACGGTCACCAGTTCGCTGAGTCAACAGAATTTCGGACAGTCGGTGGGGGGAGCGGGTGGAGCCGGTGCATCGGGCACACAGCCCCTGGCACCGCACGAAATGCTGCAGGCGGCCCAGCGGTATGGCACGCTGAGGAAGTCGGGAAAACAGCCCCCACTGCCGCCGCTGCGCAAGGACCTGCAGCAGCAGCAGCAGCAACAGAAGCCGCAACAGCAGCAATTAGGTGAGTCCTGAGTCATTTCGATATATTTATTGGAATTTATCGATATTTTTATCTAGAATTTTAGATGATATGAAAAGAAAAGCATAGATATTTGTAGATATAAGAACTTTTTTTGGTATCGATAAAAATCGATATAAATTTTATAAATTTATCGATAAACGTAGATTTTGCATGAAAAGTATCAATTTAGAGATCTAGCCAATAGTTGGGTGTGGTTTGTAAGTGTTTCTAGGATATATTTCAAGAAAGTTATCGATCTTTTTATCGAAATTATGAAAACCTTTTTAAAAATTTCATGGATTTGGAAGGAAAATCTAAACTAAATATAGGTTCAGTCGGGCGTGAAAGAAAGTATCGACATTTAACAAAAGGAAGGGAAAACTATCGATTACATATCGACATATGTGAACATTTAACGCAAATAAAAATAAAATAAATATATTTAAATCGGAAACGCCGTAAATTTGATTTATCGAAAGAAAGTTTTCGATATTTGATCGATATTCATAAAATTCTTACGACACATTAAATTTCTCACATTATTTTAGCAACAAGGAATCGATCAATTTATTCCCCTTCCACATACTGACCGTTTCTCGTAGCAATAATCATTCTTCTGGCCGAATCCCAGGCTGCATTCCTCAATCCTCAATCCTTATCCAAATCGGTTGAGCAGGCGACTAAGAAATCAGTTTGATTGATTATGCACTTAAGTGTTGGGGAAATGTTTGGATAAGAGTTTGCTGGTGCCGGCTGGTGGCTGCTGGCTGCCGCCTGCTGGTGCCTGCTGCTCCAAGCTGATGCCTGGCCAGATAAATAAAATAGAATTTCCTCACTGTCAGGACAATGGCAGGCAAGGACACGCCATGCCAGGCGCCCGCACTCCACTCGAGAACCATTCCACATATAGAATTTGCATCTGTATATCCTTTTATGCAGCAGCAGCAGCAGCAACAGCAGCAGGATGCACGATAAATGCACATAAAATAGTCAGCTCTAGGACATTCCGTTAGCATACCAGCCCCCACACGCACCCCCACCCTTATTCCAGGGTATGCACCGCCTCCTCTTCGCATCTATCAAAAACAACAAATCGCTTGCAGCGACAACTATTGCAGGCTCCTCTTCAACGGAAAACACCAACGAAAAAGGAGTAAAAATACTGGAAAAATACCAAAAATAAACTATGGCAAATCCGAGAAAAAGAGAGAGAGAGAGAGAGAGACGGAGACTAGAGCGAGTGCGAGTGCGAGTGCGAGCGCTATTAAAAATGTAAAATGCAGGAGCAGAAAATATTTTACAAAATCAAAATCAAACAACGCTGCCAGCTGTAAGTGAAGTGAATCACTGAAGAGAAACCGAACACATGCACAAAAAAAGATACAAACACACACACACACATGCTCGCAGGGGCAATACAGGGATACAAACATAAGCACACACACACACACACACATCTGTATAGAGACTGAGAGAAAGGCAGTGCTCTAGCATCAGTGGTATTAAGGGAGATTGAAGCGGAGACAGCGGCAGACAGTGGTAGGGAATCGCCAAGGAAGGGATAAAAAGGATATTCTGTTGGCGATAGGGTTTCTGTAATATATTAATCGATAAATAAACAATATAACTTCGATGAGTACTCGATTGTACAACCGATTTTTCTATAACTGATCGATGGTGCAAAGTGTTAATCGATAAATTATCGCGGTAAACATTTCATCGAAGCATAATAGATGGTACATTTTTTTCTGGGTCAAAATATTATTTCAGAATTTATTTTTCGATAACTATCTATCGCTAAACACAGATATCGATAGGTAATTAATTATAAAAGCTGTTTTCTATAACTAATCGATTTTGAACATTTTTAATCGATAAATTGTCAACAATAAAACTTTTTATCGAGGCCTTATTGTTGGTTCATATATTTATGGATTTTTCTAACAATAATCTAGCGCTAAAAATAGTTATCGATAATTAATCGAACCTTTTTTTCGAAAGACCATCAAGGAAATATTGTTGCACTGAAAAATTATATACATGAACGTATTTATCGATAAATAATCTATAAAAAATGTATTATCAATAAATGAAAGTACTTAAAATACATTGCGGGTGCAATTTGTATGATAACCCTTCCACCTATCGATAGTAAAATGTCTTGAAATTCATAAAATTCCCTAATTAACTAGAAACTAATCGATATTTCGATGTTTTTCTATAAAACCAACTCGTTAACCATTAAAACATCGCATCTATGTGATCACATTCATTTCCGTTCGACGGCTCTGTAATTTCGCATCAACTATTCATTGCGATGCTGTTAAACAAACCGCAGAGAACGAACATCAAAGCCCCTGGTTTTACCTCAGGAATTGATTGGTTCTCCCCATTGTCCCGTGTCCTGTGTCCTATGTGGGGCAAATGCCACATGGAATGCATAAAAAGGATTGCAAATGCGAATGCTACTGCTTTTACTGCCACTACCACTGCCACTGCCACTGCCAGTGCATTTTGCTTCATCTAGTTTGCGGTTTTTTTCAGTATGCTCACATACGTGCACGGTGCACGGGGCACGGGGCACGGAGAACGGGGCGTATGCGTGATTTTTTGTAGTTATGCATAAGATTTCCTTCCACTTCCACATCCACATCCGTGTGTGGTATCTTCTAAACGCTCCTACAATTAGACAGTCAGCAAAGTGAGGACTGACCACTGCGGTCTCTCCACAGGATGCAGACCCAAAACAATTGTTTTCCCAACCATTGAGCGGGCTGGACAGAGCGGGGGGTAACAGCTCTTTCATATTTAGCCGTATACATTATGAACTGCTTCTAATCGGCTTAAAGGAGAAGCTGCTGCTGCTGCTGCTGCTGCTGCTGCAGGACCAGCTGCAAGGACTGCAAGGAGCAGCAAAAACATTTCAATTAAAACAAAAGCCATGGCCAAAGACTCTAAGGACTCTCTTTCGCTCTCTCTCTCTCTCGCTGGAGTCGTCTGCCGCATTTTTGGCCACAAAGCAACGAATCAAAAAGGAGACCTGGAAGACTGTAGGCCCTGGCGTTGTGGGGACTATGAAAATATGCCAGCGCAAGACAAGGCAAAAACATAGCCATAGAAGGGGGAGAAGGTTGAGTGGAAGTTGGAAATACCCTGCAAGGCCTAAAAAAGGAGACTTGTAACTAATTTATCGATAAATATCGAAGGTAAAACATCTGGTTCGATAAATTCTCGATTAGTAAACACAGTAAAGTGCATTAATCGATGGGAAACCCTAGTAATCGATCACTTATCGAAGGCAACGCATAAGAATCGATTGTGGAAGGTATTTGTCGATTAATAATCGAACGGAAGACAGATTTGTGTTGTTTCGTAGATGCCTAGAATGCCACTCACCAAAACAAACAATGCTCGAAAATTTGAATACCCCCTCGATCGAAAGGGCAACCCAAAAACGGAGCGAACAAAAAATGCAAAAAAAAAGTGCACAAAAGAGAGTGTCAGTTGATGCCCTTAGATGAAGACTACTACGGGAAGACTCCTCCTGGCTACAGTTGCTTCAGTTTGCTTTTATGCTTTTACCATCTTTGCTTTTTCGCCTGCCCTGCCCTGCCCTGCCCTGCCATGCCTCCTTGAACCTCTTCAGCGGTACCTACCACTTCAACGGCAAGTGGAGTGGCGGAGTGGCCCCCATTCGAGGGCCAGTTTAAAGCAATAAAGGCCAACAACAGAAACAACAACCGACGAATCTTGTTAACCCTCTCGCTATCTCTATTTCGCTCTCTCTCTCTCTCTCTGTTCGACTTTGATGACCATAGAAGCAAACGTAGAAAGTAATGGGAAAGCAAGCAGCACGAAAGTATTTTCCTCTGTTGTGTTTCCATGCCATGCCATGCCCCAAAAAATTGCTCGCCAAAGTACAGTATGCAATGCTTTTGACTTTTCTACGATTTTCGCAATTCAATTGCCGATTTGTGGGGGGGGCGCGGGATCGACGGGTGGCTTGTGTTTTCCCACAGACAAAAGCCAAAGCCAAACGGACAAATGGAGGACCAATACAAATCACGAAGCGCCGCGTTCTTTCACTCTATTCGCTGGATTGAATTGCAACAGCGTTCGAGTGGCATTGCATGGCACTGTTGTTCTTGAAATCATTATCTCGGGCAACTTCTGTGGAAATTCGAGGAATTTCGTACTAAATTTTGAAGGAATTTCCGATAAGAAATTTCCAAAGAGATTGAAAGTTGATTCAGGGAAATGTTCTTGGAATTATTCTTTCCCAAAAAGTTGTTGAGATTAAACAGAAGTTAGTGGAACGCCTGCAATAGTAAGGAAGGGAATATCTCCAGACATTGAAATTTGATGAGAGGAGAGCGCAGAATACTGCAAAAAATACTCTACAAATCTGAGAAGTCAATCTTCTGAAGATACTAAAAAAAAATACTGAAAATAAGATCAAGGTACATATTCTGGCAGTAAATACTAAATACCAAAGTAATAGCTATAAAAATACTGAAAAAAATACTACCAATACTCAAAATATACCAGAAATACCAAACAAATAATGAAAAAATATTATCAATACTCAAAATTAGGTCAAGTTGCTGATTCTTTTTCAAGATACTGAATACTAAAGAAATACCTATAAATAACTACTGAAATAATACTATACATACTGAGAAATAGATCAGGGTACAGGGTCTTGTAGAAAATACATAGAAAGGTAAAAAATACGGAAAAAATACTGTACGTACTGCAATGTAAATCAGGGTGCAGAAAATACTCAAATACTAAAATATAGTACAACAAAAATTACTGAAAATATACCATAAATACTGCCAGCTGCTGGCAGAAAATACTACATACCAAAAAAATTGTTTTATAAATACTACTACTACTAGGATACCCAAAATGTAGTCGAATTTGTTTAAATAATTTTTAAAAATATCGTTTGTACATTCCCTGAGGCTGGGAAAACACATTTGGCACCAAAACCCAAAATAATCCCAAAATAATGACCACCAACAAATAAATCAAACAATCCCAGTCATAAATCGTTTTAATTTAATTTCAGTCTGTATTTTTTTTTTCTATTTCTTCTCAAATAAAATTGAATTCTGGGGAATATCCACAAACACGAGTAATCATAAATTTATTTGGTTATCCATTAAATTTGTTGGTCGGCTGCGTTTTGCCGTTGATTAGATTTTCAACGTTTTTCTACTAGGTTTTTCGTGTGTGTGTGGGTGAGTGTTTGTTTTTTTTTGTCTCCCCTTCGCTGTGTTTTTGTGTGGGGGAGTATCGTGCAAACGAAATGCAAAAATTAACAATTGGAAGCATATTAACCGCATCAATTTCCGTAGGGCAGTCGAAAACACACACACACAGGAGTACAATGTACACAGATCATTAAACATACATTCAGGGAAACACACACACACACATTGAGATACTGGCAGTACAGTACACCTTCCAGCATTATTTATTATGCCGCCATGGGGCGCCCTGGCCTGGCCACAGCTTTCGACAAATTTTTGGCAAAACATTTTACGTAATAAATTTATTTTAATTACAACGCCAAAAGTGCGGCGGCAGCATCGAGGCCAGGGTATCCCTGCCAGAGATACTTCCTCCAAAGTATGGCCCTGGCAGCGGGGGGCAGGGGGCATGGGGCAGGGGGCATGGGGGAGTCTGTTGTGTGGTTGGTAATGAATGCGCTTCAATTAAATGAAATATTCATAGGCATAAATACAAGAGCGAGCCCCACAAAAGGCAGCAAGAGAAAGTGAGACAGAGAGAGAGAGAGAAAAGGTGAGCGAAAGAGGAGGGCAGTAGGGATCGTGGCATCCCAGACACAGGCAACACCTTGCTGCGGCATGTTTTATGAGCCAACAAAAGCCATCCCGACTATCAGCTGACGATGAGGTGAACGGCAGGCGGTTGAACGAAGAGAAAGGATAAAGCAAGAGGCCAAAAAAAGGACGGGGAAGAGTACAAGGGGTCTTTGAGAGTCAGTGGAACACACAATGAATTTCAGATACTCTTAAGCGGAAAATATACAATAAAATCGTTTAAAATATACAAAAATTTAGATAAATATTTGCTAAAAGCTAACTTCTTTCGACTTACCCGATCATCAGTATAAATATTCATTATAAGAAAAGGACTTTTCATCTTTCTACCTGAAAAGTATAAAGACTAAATATATATTAATTGTAGTAACTTATTAAAAGTGGTTTACTAGTGCTTTTTTAATGAGTTTTATTGATGTACAAATATTTAATGTTAACCCATTTCTGGCATTCATCGAAATAAAATAATTATAAACATTAAAAACATTCAACATTAATTGAACATTGACCCAGAAAGGAAACTTTTACCCTCAAAAACTTTACTTTGTGCAGGCTCTCGGCAGAGGCTGCATTTAATTTATGAATCCCGAACCGCCATTCGATAGTTAATCAACTCTTTGCCAACCCACGAAAAAAAAAAGAAAAGAAAGAAAAGCTTGTCGGTAAAAACTCATTGCCAGCCCATTGGAGCCGTTTTGCAGCTTGTTAATTACATGGCACTGGGAAAATGGTTTTGCGCTGCCGAAAGCGGAAGGAAAACGGGGATGTCCTGGATGTCGAGTGGCGGTCGGTTAAAAGGGGGCCCCCGTTTTGGGCTCGCTGTTGGGGCAGTGTAATGCATATTTTCAAACAATTTACCAATTTGCCTGTAGGTTGTCTGTCTTTCTGTTTTGACCAGGAGCCACTCCCCCCTCCCACTGCCCACCCATAAAATGTTTATTAGGTAATGAAACATAACAACAAGCGACCACCGACCAAACGAACGAGAGAACGTTTGCCATAAAGCTCAAACGACCGTGTCAAATTTTGTGCTGCTGTGCGGTGCTTGACTCCCCCGCTCATTCGCTTTAAAAGAAAAACCAAAATCCCCTCTAGCTAGTGCTACGACTTCGGGGTTCCCTATATTGTTGCAAAGATTCTAAGATGAAAATGTAAAAACTTGATTAATACTGAAAACTAGACTAGTGAAAACTAGTGAAAATACCAAAAAAATACCAAAAAATACTGAATACTAATTAAGTTTACTTTAGTACTTAAGTACTAAAGTTTATGAAGGCGCAGTGGCTTGGCAGAAAATACTGAATACTAAAACATAAAAATAAAATACTGAAAACTTCATCAGGGTGCAAGATCTTGGAACAATTTTTGAAAAATATTTGATTGCTACTACCGAAAAACTTATAGAAAAATACTTAAGACTTGTATATGAAATATACTAAATATTTGGAAAAGACAACAAAAATACTTAAAACTTGTTAAGGGTGCAGGCTTTCACAGAAAATACAAAAAAATACCAAAAAAGACTAAAAACTGCATCAGCGTGCATGGTTGTGCATACTGAAAACCCTACTAAAAAATACCGAAAAATACTGAAGAATACCTTATACCAGAAATCCTATTAGATATTACAAAAAAATAATATATGGAGAGAAAAAATACAGAAAATACTGAAAAGAATTCCCCCACAAGATCTAGTGTTTCATATTAGAAACTACTCCTTCGTCTTCTTCTACATCCCCCATAGCGACTCTTTCGTTGATTTTGAAAAAGAACACTTACGAGTATTCTGTCGCTCATCTCTCAAAAACCCCCAATCGACCCCAAAAACACTCCACAATTACCGGGGGTATAAACAGCAGCAGCACGAAAAAAAAAGTAAGCGTTAATTGAGTTTTCCAAGCGAAAACTGTTTGAGTTGGTTGTGGCTGGATGGGGGAGGGGAGGGGGGCGGGGTGGGGAAAACCCCCGGCAAAGAGACAGGAATCAGAGGAAAAGCTTTGCTGCAAATGCATTTGGCTAAAAACCAAACAAAACTCTGCGGCAACGGAGATAAATTCTGTGCTGTGCATCAGGAAAACGAATCTGAAAAGTATTTTATTGTGCCAGACTTTCCACAATTCCACTTGACTTGAAAAAAGGTGGGCAGGGGCAGGGGCAGGGGTGAGGGTTGGGGGTGCCTGGATCTATGGAAAATGCAGGAAAATGTATTTATGCAAAAGTTGCAATTGTCAGAGAGGCGAGGCACAAGTCAAAGTGCATAAAGTGTTGCCACCGAATCAGCGCAAAAGTGTGGAGGAGAACGTGTTGCACGGCTAGGAGATTCAGAGGTGTTGTATGGGGTGACAAGTGGCGTGGCGTGTGTGAAGTGTTTTGGCATTTGAATTCAGTTTTTCCATCGAACAGCAGCAGCAGCATCCATACGCTTCAAATCACACCAAATACACACCAGAATGGAATACTCGTATGGGTTATGGATGGGCTATAAATGCAGATAGATGGGGTATCAAAACCAGCCCCTCCCCAACCCCTATTGAGTGGAGAGTGCTGTAGCATTATGCTGATTGAATGCAAATGCATTTGGAGCGGCACAAACAAAAACGAATTTATATTTATAAATATAAAATTTCAATATATATAAGTATACTATATAAATATTTTTTTGTGCCGCTCCTCTCTCTCTCTCTCTCTCTCTATTCAAATTCAAACAAGCGACTGACCCCAATCCCCCAGTGGTGGGGGGGGGGCGAATATTATAATGCATAATACTCTTGTGTTTCATACAAATTAATGGCTTAACGGGGCGGCAGACAGGCGGCGGCTATGCGGCGCCTAGCCTCTCATCAAACTGCATTAATTAATTTAAATTGCATTTTCAAATAAAACAAAATACAAAAAAAAAATAAACAATATTTATTAATGAGCTTAAATCGCACTAAAACACAACACACAAATCGATGTTCGTTTCGTTGCAGCGGATATAATACAGGATTTGGCAAATTAAACTAATTGCCAGTTAAGGAGAGACAACAACCACAGCAACAGCAACAACAGCAACAACAACAACAAAGCAACAGAGCAACAGAGCAACAATTTGACATTAGCATTTAAGTAAGTATACCACACGCAAAAAAAAGATTAAACAATTTGAATTTTTAGCTGTTTAAGTGAGCGTGAAATTTGCTAACAAAAGCAAAACCAAAAACCAAAATCAGTATAAAAATGAGCCTATTTCGACCAAAAAACACATGAAAAACGAAAAACGTATTGTAAATGTAAAAAAATTGAAGAAATTCAGAGAAATACCAAAAAAATACCACACAAAATACTAAAAGTATGCTAAGAAATATACTATAAATATACCAAAAACTAGTATTTAACTTGGAGTAGAAATAAAATGTTTTCCATTATTAGTTTTTAAGTATTTTTTACTCCATGAATTTTTATATTGTAAATGGTATTTTTTAGGATTATTCTTTATGGTATGAAGTTAGCTTTTTATCAAAATTTTAACGAATGCTTCCTCCTATCAAACTACATTTTAAAAAAGATTTTCAGGAAAAATACCAACAACACCGCAATCAAACACAAAACATTTACAATACAAATACAAACACAAATATACCACAAAAAAAAAATTCATAAAAAAATACCAACCAAGTATACCAAAAACACTAGGCAATAGAACAGCAGTAAAATTAAACCACTAAGCAAATATAATCATTTTTTTGGGAGTAACGCAGCCACTTTATTTCCACTCAGATTTTCGCATTTAAATAATCATTTATTGTTCTTATTTTTTGGTATTTTATTGAGAGAGGATAGCATTTTATTGCGAGCCTGTGGCCGGGCGGGCACAATAACACCACCATAATATGCTGGTAAAATTGTTATTCTGGTCTGGCCCATTGTTTCAACCAAAACACAGCCAAACACAAAAGCCACCTTTTGAGGTTTTTCTCTAGTATATGTTTTTTTTTTGAATTTTTTTTTGGTTTCTGTGGAAAATATGGAAATTTTTGGTGGGTTTAAATCAAATAAAAGCGACAAAATGTGCATTTAATTGCTTTTTCAACGCCCAAAAATAGAGCGAAGAGCAAAGAAAGGAGAGGGTAAATATAGAAAATCAAAACTTTACCAAAGGCAAAAATTCGTAGAGTTTTCTGCACTGTTGCGCTCCGCTCTGGGGTCTGGGCTCTGGGCTTTGGGCTTTGGGCGCTGGGCTCCTCATTAGCTTTTGTCTCTATTGGGGCATTAAATTGGAAAGCGAATATTTGTTTGCACGGATCGACTAATTGCGCTGCTAATTTCAATTGTTCTCCATTGTCAGCGTTTACAATAATGCAAAAATTGTAATTACAAATTAACAATTGGTCCTGGGTCCAGTGTCCAGTGTCGCGTGACCTGACCTCCTCCTCGGGTGCAAAATTAGATTGTGTAAATTTGCAAATTAATTTGCCAATGGACAATGCCCTCAGCGCCACTCACGATTCGAATTGACAAAATCAGAGTGCATCAATTTCCATTCATTTTCGCACACACAAATCCGAGGGGTTTTCTACAGTTTGTATTATTTTTTACATTGTATAGACGTTAGTATAGGATATCTTAATGGAATAAAAAAATGGTCTTTACTCTGACGAATCTGTAAATAGTAAGCCACGACCTGGACACTGGTTGCAGGTTGTATTAAATTGTTGCCACAACAAGTTGAAACATTAAGCTGCCAGTCAAAAGGGAGTCCAAGGGAGAGTTGCATTTAAATTCTAGCAGGTATATATTACCAAATAAAATACAGTATAAATACACAGACAGACAGACAGGCAAAAACCAGAGGAAAAAAATATGAAAATTAAAATAGCAAACACGTAACAGAAAAAAAAAGGAATTAAATCTAAAACTAAAACCAACAAAAAAGGAATGCATGAAAAATAGATGGAATAATCAACAGAATTCAATTTAAATATTAAACTGCCAGAAAGTGAAAGAATTATTTTGTAAACTCACGTAAAATTAAGGAATTTTCCAAGCTTTTATTGGTTTTTGTCGTATTTTGATGAAAAGACACTCAGCTCTAAGCCATCAAAATGGTTTGTAAAATGTCATTTTTGTTGCAACACTGCCCCTCCCCCGCGCCCCTTTTCAGCACTCAGTGATATACAAAAAATACTGCACCGAAAAACAGAAAATTTATTGCATCTTTAATCCGTAAACTTGTTCCGAAAACTCTGTTATGAAATATTCAAAACTAATAAATTGCCATAATTGAAGCATTTATTTTTCAAGCTACCAAAAACAAAAGAAAAAAAAGGTGTATTTGCGCAACAAATTATGCATAGAAATTTAGTTAAATAAATTCAATTAAATTATAAATAAATGCTGCGCATATTTAACCAAACCCCCATAGAAATAGTAACAATTTTAAATGCATAATTAAAGTCTAAGGGCATTGTACATAAAACAAAACCAAAGAAAAATATTTAAATCGTAATTTAATTCCAAAATAAAATCTATTTAAAATATACCGAAAAAAATGTCATAAAAAGTTATGAAAAAGTAATAGATTTAAGGGTTGGATTTTCGAAGAGAGTGTGTTTGTATGTTATGTTGGTCTGGTGTCTCATATAAAACGAGGAAAAGCTGGTAAGAAATCTTTAAAAATTCAAAAAATTGCATTCCAAACTCCCACCAATCCCAAAATTCCAGAGGATAAACCGCCATCAAGGCTATGTATTATACAGAAAACATTACTTACAAAAAAATGTCACATAAAGCGCAAGAAATTCCTTTCAATTTTTAGTTTTGAAAGACCAGACCAACACCCTAGCTATAGGAACCGCAAGTATTTGTAATCCGAAACAAAATAATGATCAAAACTAGTCTTTAAACTATGGTTAACCTTAGGCTAAGTCTTCAAACTATGTTTAACTGTCCATTTTTTCCAATGATACATACATGTGTGTCCCATTGATAGTTTTCTCTCTGTAATACGATTGTAAACTATTCAAAAACTATTCTTTGGTAGAGAATGGTATGTTCACAGAACGCCAGGCGATTGGTAAAAAAAAAAAAACCAAAGAAAACACAACTAATTTTTAGCTCTTAAAAAAACCTTAGACAGTAAACGATACGATACGATATTATGCAAATGTGTAAAACAGCAAGCAACAGCAAAAAATACGATAAATAAAGTATAATTATAAAAACAAAACAAAAAAAAACAAGGAGAAAGTTGTCACACATTTATTTTTTGTATAACGCGTCAAAATCTAATCGAAGAAAATTCTCGAAATGGTTTTCCCACCTCAAATTAAATTGAGTTTCTCGATGTTTACATTGGCAGTCAGCATTGCAGTTATCGCCGTGTTGTATGCATTCTATCGATGGAAATGTGGCAAGCGTGCAATGTTATCGGAAATGGCCGCCACGACGGCAACAGCATCGGCAACAGCAGCGAAAGGATCAACAGAATTGCCACGAATCAAGATGAAGCGGTCCCTGTCATTCGCCGCCACGCGGGTAAATTGAAAAATGTTTGCAATTGTTTTTACCAAAAACTTTTTGTCGGCTGTGGCTCTGCGGCTCTTTTGCCGGCTCACAATTAAGGTAGGGGGGGGGGGGGGGGGGAGTGGTCTGTGGGGTATAAAAAATGTTTACTCTTTGCAAGGGGCATTTACATATATTTTGCATATGAGGAATTGGCAAAGGGGTTTCTGTGTGAAATTCCCTTCCGATATGCACTCGGTACGCAGGTCCATCGATCACTTTTGGCCCCTGGTTGGGGGTTTCCTGGCTGGTAGGCCAGAACTCCATTCTCTTATGGTTGTTAAGGCCCCATGTTCCCTGAGGGAAAAACATAACCTAATCGACTTTATGAGAGTATTTAACCATTCGTTTCACATTTCATTTTTATTGAAGTGGGGTTTTTTTTTTGTCTTTCTGACAACTCTGACCAGCTGAGGTGTGTGTGCTTGCTGTGTGCCACTGCTGGCAAACCGCAAAATGGTGACATTGTGCAAATAAAAAACAATTTACGATAAACATCAAATTTCCACAAATTACCTTATATTTTACGTGAGTTGCGAAACAGATTGTAAAACACTCACACACACACATACACAGATTCAGAAAGAGCAGGGAAAATGTGGAAAAAAGAATGAAATTACGAATGCACAAGTACCCAGTATTTTGGGTTTTCTCGGGGGTTTCTAGTAAACCATTGGCTGTGTCAAACGTAAATACATCGTGGGAGGAAATAAGAAGAGAAGATCGGCCTGAAAACTACGCACTAAAGCAAGGTCCCGTTTGTTGTTGCTTTGCTGCTCGGTCGTCGCTAGAAATGAAAACCGAATCAATTGCTGGGCGACGCTTCGGTCGTAGCTTTCTGCTGCTTTGTTGTTGTTGCTGCGAGAGCGAAAGCATTTGCCGAGTGCCGGGCCTCCGAGCAGAACATCGGCGCTTTGCTTTTGTTGTTGCTGCTGTTTGGAGAACTGCGCTGTTGCTGAACTGCGAGAGAGCGTGTGCATTGCGTGGGAGAGGATCGAAGCTCGGGCATGAAGAGGCAGAGGCAGAGCAGAGACGGAGAGAGCGAATGGGAATGGATTTTACTTTTTTTACCCTTTAAATAAACTCGAAGCTCTGCTGGCTGCCGCTCACGTTTGCTCATGTAGCGATCGCCGCTGCTGACTCTTCTAGCCACTGTTGTATCGCCTCACATCCTTTTCTTATATGTATAAACCATATACCCTTGTGCGCCACCAAGTACAGGGTACATAAAAAAGAAACCGCGATTCGCTGATTTTACACTGCGTTGAGCATTCGCCTCGTTTTTGGCCATTGTTTGTGCTGCGAGGGAGGGGGTTGAAGCTGGATATGCAGGAGGAATCTGCTGGGTAGGTGTGAACCGAGTCAGGCAGCAGGACTAAGGGGGGAGTGACTAAGTGGAGTACCAGCGGGGCTTTAAACGTGCCTCACACACACACATACAGACCCTCACACTTAAATTTCGAATTTTTGCAATTATTTTTATTGCTTGCCATTTTTCCG